CGAGAATTAGAAGTTGCCATTTCTCAGATATACAACTTTGTACTGATTCTTGATAAAGAGGCCAAGGCCATACAGAGAACATCTCCTGATGGAGATGAGGTGAACCACAAACTGGATATGTTCTCTGCCAAATATAATAAAGTTATGAACAACAGGACTGATCTGATTGTTTTTGTTCTTGATCTTTCTCATGTATTAAGCACAGCAAGCGAGCTTCACTTTAATGTACTAGGATATAAAAATTCAGCAATTGAAACAGGCAGTTCTGATTGTATAGACAAGATTGCCTTACCAGAGAGCAAGGCTGTCGTGGACTTATCTGGAGAAAGATATCCAAATGGCAGTGCTCACTTTTCTGACCCCAATTCGGATCCTGACTTCCTTAATGATGGGACTCTTGTGCCAACCTCTGATTCGTCAGCTACTTCATGGAAATGCTCTCTGGAGGAGTTTGAACAATTGAAATTGGAGAAGGATAATGTGGCAACTGATCTTGCTACATGTACTGAAAGCTTGGAAATCACCAAGTCTCAGTTGCTTGAAACAGAACAGCTACTCGCAGAGGTGAAGTCACAATTGACATCAGCTCAGAAGTCCAACAGCTTGGCTGAGACACAGCTTAAATGCATGGCTGAGTCATACAAAACACTTGAAACTCGGGCAGAGGAGTTACAAACTGAAGTAAATCTCCTACATGGAAAAATAGTAAGTCTTGATAATGAGCTACAGGAGGAGAGAAGAAATCATCAAGGTGCCTTGACCCGATGTAAAGATCTCCAGGAGCAGCTGCAAAGGTTAGTAACGATTTTTTTCCTTATGTCAGCTTCCTGCACTCATGCTTCTTCTAAACCTGACGTGGATTTTCAAGGGCTCAACTTACATCACTAGAAAGAATTTTTCCAGGTTCAGACGAGCATTTAGGCTGTCCGTAGGACTAAGGTCTATTGCACAGCATCTATTGTATTTATACACTTGCAATTACTGCGCTTAAATTGGATAAAAGTGTCATAACAATTGACTTTGGAGAAGATCTTGTCGATTCAAACGTCTTTACTTGCCTGTTTTAAGCTTTTTGGTTTGTAGTTGTTCTTAGGTCTCTGATTATCTATGCAATTTATTGTTGAAATATTGAAATCACTTTGTGGATGACTGAAGTTTTTGCTCTCTAATTCCTGATGGGGTTATTCTTTATATTTTTATTTCAGGATTGAGAATTATTCAACAGCTGATAATGATGCTAAGACTAACCAGGTGACACTTCTAAACGATCTTGCATTTTCAGCATTTAAACCATTAAGTTATCTATAGTCAATATGATCTGTATAAAGTTTTGTCCTCAAAGCTTTACGTGAGACATGTTGCTTTAGCATATGCATAAATACTACAAGTAAAATTGTTATGAACTTTTCACCACCAAGATCAGTTCCTACTTCCATGTCAGCTTCTTCTTGGGTTTCTTTGTTGTAAATATCAAATATTTAATTTCTTTTTGTAAATCTTTAACTCCCTGTGATTAATTAAAGACTCCCTGTTGATGTGTCATGGAAGTGTATACCAAGCATTATTTTATTTTCTACCAAAAACTGAATAGAGGTTATGAAGATAGACTGTTCAGATAGGCACGTGAAATGTGAACTTACAACTAGTTTAATTTGAGAACAACTTCAAAAACCAGAAATTGGAGAAAAACGCTGGTGTTGCCATTGGTTGTTATATAGATCAATGTTTTTTCTTGAAGCCTGCAGTGTTGTGGGTACAGTGTGGGCAAAATTTCAACCATGTGGAGTTAACACAATTATGTTTGAAATTCTAAATTGATGCCTTTTTCTAAACAATTGAATTTTGCAATTGAATCAAAAATAAGTAAAGAATGCATGAAATGATTTTAAAAATTTTGGGTCTTGGTTTTGCTTGAGGATTAAATTCCTCAAGACAAACCTTAGTTTGATGTTTTCAAGAAACAAACCATTTTATCTGAACCTTGATTAAGCCTCATCCCTTGGCTGCACATGGATTCTTTTGGTAATTCCTTAGTCTATTAATCCGCGGGAAATTCATGGTTTTTTGTTGCTATTTGATGTACATTTGGCCTTCCATTCCCTCAGTTTACCATTTATACCACAATATCATCTTTCTAAATGGTGAATGTAGTATACTTGTTGGAAAGTATCTAGCACTTCTATCAGTTTTCTTGCAACTTTTTGTTACTAAGATTGCCCTTCAAAACGTTCTTTAACTAGAATGGTCAAGTCCAATATGCACATTTTTTTTTTTCTTTCAGGAGAAAGAATTGGCAGCTGCGTCAGAAAAACTAGCTGAGTGTCAAGAAACCATATATCTTCTGGGTAAGCAATTGAAAACTTTGTGTCCTCAATCAGAATCCATGGCTTCTCCATGTAGTGGAAGGAGTGGGAAGGGTGAAGGCTTCAATGAGGAAGTACCAACCATAAGTTGCACAAATTTGCAAGATACTGATCCAGTTGAGATAGATGCCGGTTCTTCTATCAATTTGCAAAGGGCAGTCTCCGAGTCTCCCCTGGATCTGTACAGCGTGTTTAGTCCATCAGACTCCGAAGCGAACAACCTATTGAAATCACCAGTCAGTTCAAAGCGTCCAAAACACCGGCCCACTAAGTCAGTCTCCTCTTCTTCATCTACCCCCACGCTGGAGAAACATTCTCGGAGTTTTAGCAGATTTTTTTCCTCAAAAGGGAAGAATGCCTACTAAGGCTGCTTTTCACTAGCTTAAATTTACCGTCTTATGGCCTTCTATGGACCGTGTAATAAAACTAGCTGTGCATCAATTTGAACTTATGTAAATGATGATCAAGATCCTTTTACTGCTCATACTTGTAATTTTGTGAAGGTTGATTTCAAAGTTATCTTTCAGGCTAAAATTTGAGAAACTTTTGCTCAAGTTTGAATCAGCCAGAAACTGTCTTCTAGGATAGTCTGTTGTTGTTAAAGAAGATTATGTAGTCGATTCCGATTTATTGGAAACAACTTGTTATAGAAAACTCATCTGTTTTTATTCATCCTCGTGCTCGTGCTCTACAAATCATTTTATTTTATTTTATTTTTATTTTTATTTTTATTTTTATTTTTTTGATCGCCTTCTAAAAGGCATGAGCATATTCTTGAATAGCCTGAAGTCTCCCCAAATCAGAGAAATCTAATATAAAGATGTAGTGGGTGGTGTAAGATGTATTGATGGTTATAGACTAAGACAGATGAAGAACCTTAGTCATGCAACGAGTAGACACTACTTAAACTAACATTTATGCCTTACTAACATTGCCAACTCCCAACACAACTGGGTCCACCCCTTCCATGAACCAAGTGTAAAACACAGGTCAAAATAACTCTGAGATTTTATGATCTTCGTGTACTATGCTTTCAAAAAGTGTCAATTTATAGGTTATAAAGAAATGTGGTTAGTCTTAATGGTTTAACTTTTTAGGAATGTATATCAGTATGACGTGGTGTGTAAGATTGATGAGGTGAATATTTTTATATATTACATTCAATTTCTTAAAAGTATAAGTAGTGACAAATCCAAGAATTCGAGTTAGCTAGAGCGAATCTAGAGGAGCGTTTATATGTTCAAAAAAAAAAAAAGAAAGAAAGAAAAGAAAAGAAAAAATTATTGACGAAGCTAGCATGGGCAACTGTCATTGCTCGTCGGATGTGGCTCCGCCCTTGAGTATGGGAAATGGTGGGATGGTTGAAAGACTAAAAAGCATTATTCAGCAGTCGAAATAATGAAAATGAAGAAGAAGAAGAAGAAGAAAACACCCATCCATGAAGTAAATATGATTGATCTCATTCACACGGTTGATGAAGAAGTGCCAAACAATTTTTGACGTCAAACAAATTCCACACAAATCAAACTTATGAACAACCCCCCCAAACGGAAAAATATTTTAATAGGGTTTGTCGTAACAGATACATGACATCTGTTCGATCACCTACTATTCTGCATGTGAATTTTGTCTTCTATGCCCCGTTTGGTAGTCATTTTCTTCAAAATATATTTTTTCTCCCTTCTTTTCAACCAAACATTCTTTATTAAAATAATATTACCCGTAAATAAAAAACTTTTCCTTATTTTTCAATCATACATTCCACATCAATTTACTATTCTAAAATGTATTTTTACGTAAAAATGCCTATCAAACACCCCCTATGTAAGTCTCCGTTTGTCTCTTATTCTTTAAAAGCATTTTTTCTTATGTACTTATTTTCAATCATACATTCACATTATAAAATATGTGTAATTTCACTTGCACACTAGAGAGTGTACAACTCTAGTGTACATGTGGCAAATCTTATAAAATATTCTACATATAAATCCTTTTTTTTTTTTTTTTACTTTTTAATCATACATTCTCAAAAATTCACTATTCAAAACAATGTTTTTCCAAATAAAAAAAAAAAAGGTCTGTGGGCCCTATCTTATTATTCTCAATATTTCTTTATGACATTATCCCGGAAAGCTGCAAGCAACCCCTGAATGAACTTTTAGTAGTGTATAACGTATAAGTTTTGAAACAGTGGATAAATTTCAAACAACAAAACACACACACGTAGTTCTAGTCTTATTTTAAAAATATAATGAATATACAGAAAACATGAAATAAAATATATTCTTCTACTCAAATGTCCAAAATTTAGAACTCAATAATGAAACTAAGAAATAACTACGCTTAAAAGTAGTCGGTGGAAGCTCAATAAATTGTTGTCCTTACGACTGATCTCCTCAGAATACGTTGTGCATCAGGTACAGGTGCCTGAACTCCACGTATTTTGTCGTCTTGACTAGTGATTATGCATTAAATACCAGATTCAATAATCGACGTACTATTTACCTTATGCGTTGCTTGACTATCTTCTGTGCAAATTATGTCTTTATTTCCTTTGATAACCAGTGATTTCCTTGAATGAAAAATGAAAAAGAAAGAAAAAGAGAGAAGCTACGAAAACAAGAAGTAGAATATAAGTTTAAATTGGAGGGGATCAAATTACATAACAAGTACTCTCACAGGGAACAAGTTTCCAAGTACAAACAAACATCTCTGTAAGGAAAAACCGAACTTTTCCCCTAGATTTACACAATCTAAACCCAAATCTGATAATGGGTTCTGAGTTAGCCAGTCAACAGTTCAAATGAAAATAGAAAGAAAAAATTTATAGCAGTAAAGCAGCAGCTTCTTGATCTCTCTCTAGCAGTAACCTGAAAATTATTTATAACATTATATTAATTCCATCTTAGCATTGATGTCAGAGACTGAAAATCATCTTCTTTACAAGGAATGGTGAGTCCCATATCATGATCAAATCCAAACTCTTCTTCTGCACGTTGCAGAAGAATCCGAAATTCAGGTTTATTCAAGAACGAGATTGGAACAATGTATCTGCTTCTGTTTTCCCCAACATACACTACAAAATGCCCTTTTGGGACGTCTACAGGAAGTCCTTCTTCATCATAACCTGCATGTTTCTTCGTTAAACTCGAGCATCTCTTCATAATCTGCTTTATTAGTGCTGCTTGTGACAATTTGTTTGATTTTCTGATGGCCATTTTTGGATAAGAAATCGGTGAAGAAACAAAAAGGTAAACAATTTTTTTTCTGGTGTGGTGGGAATGTAAAGGTAACCGAAAAGGGATTATATAAAAAAAAGAATGCCTTGTATTGGGGATTGGGTGGGGGTACTGTAGTTTAGCTGAGGAAAACATGTTGGGGGCCAATGTTCTCGGTTTTATTAACTCGTGTTGCCTTTTATTAGGACATGGGGTCCCTTTTAACTCTATTTTCTCTCTCACACACTTCAAGATATGGAATTGCAAGTAGAGATACATCCTCAAAATTTCCAAATAATTGCTCGAACTCCACCTGGTGCTTGTCTTGTGCCAAGGCAGTGTAAATGTGTTATCTCAGGATAATGGGAGAAAGACACTTGTCCTCTGAATTATGTCTCAAATGCATTTAGAAGTTCTGTTTTCGAGATTTACGCTCGTCAATATTTCATTGTTCAGTTTAACTTATCAAACACATTGAAAAGACGCTCCACCACTCAGAATCCCTGGTCTTCATTATGCTAATTTACTTCAGCAGTTTTCAATCTTTTCTTCAATTTCTTTATTCTCGTCTGGACCAACATCCATACCAGAGAGGGCAATCTTTACACTGACTATCGAAACTTGCCTACCGTCACGACACAAGGATAACCTTTCTACCACGACCAGCTCGTCTATAATTTTTCTTCTACAGAAACTTTGGGCGTCCCCACTTTAGACCATTGGCATTGTTAGGCTTGTGATTCTGTTAAAAAGGTGAAAGACAAAAATCAGTGACTCACATGCAACTACGTGAGTACATAGTAGTTTACTGCACATTTATTTAAGCAAATATATTCCATGCTATACAAACTTTTGTCCACAAAGGAAATCAAAACTATAATAATTAATTAAAAATAGCGTCATTACAAGTTTGTAGGTGTTTTTGAACAAGAAATAGAGCACATTAGGCCCGTTTAGAACTTTAAAGTATTTTTCAATTAACTGCTTATTTTGACATTATGCAAATGTAATGCTGAAGCAGTTCGAAAAAAGTATATTTTTTAAGCGGAGTCAAACATACTACTAATATAATTACACAACAATAATTATCAAAACTATTGGAAATTAAAGAATAATAATTCCCTGATCTTTTAAGTAATTATTTATTTTCCTTTTTCTTAACAACTGCTAAATAAATTTAGTTTTTGTTTGGGATAGCTTAAAAAAAAAGTTAAAAATTTGAGGTAAAAGTTAACAATTAATTTTAATCATATTTGTCATGAGATCTATAACTTTTATCAACTTCCTAACCACATATTTTCTTAACTTTTAATATAATTTGCTAAAATTTTTATCAAAAAACTTTGTCAAACAACCTTTAATAAGAAACTGACAATAAATAATAAATGGAGAGCATTAAATCAAGAGAAATTATTTCCCACCAAACTGAGTAAACTCAGCAGTCGAACTCAAATATAATCAAGAATCCAAAAAGGACTAAAAAGAATACTTTTATCCCGATTGGGACTAGAAATGGGGCCATGATATGCCCTCATTTGAAGGCCATCCCATGTTCTGTGAATGAAATTTGTTGCTGACCATGAGATTCAAACAGTGAAAAATAGCCCCCACCGTCTTCAAGGCATGCAGTTGGTAGCCTAGCTAATCACCAATATAAGAATATAGTATACCCACCTCGTCTAGAAATTTAAATTGATAAAAATAGAATAACACTATTTACATCCACAATTTTTATATATACATCCACATTTAAAAAGATAATTATATTATATTTTTTTATCAATATATATATATATATCCACTTTTAAAAAGATAATTATATTATATCTTTTATCTTATATAAATTTACCTAAATAGAGATATATATAAAATTAAATAAAAATATATCCTTCTTAATTCATCCACTCATATTTATTTGCATTAAATTCTTTTGAACTTTTTTATATTCCTTTAGTATTCATGCTTAGCTAAAATCCTAATAATTATATAATATTATCTTCAACTAAAATCATAAAATCCTAATAATTATAAAATATCGTGTTCAACCGAAATCAAAACTACAATGGAAGAGATACCGTTGAAGGAAATACGTACCGACACAGCAATATATGAAGAAGAATTTGGAAAGGTGATGATTACATTTTATTATTATTTTTGATTCTCCGAGCAACTTGTACAACCTTCTAATTTCTAAATCCAGAAAAAATCAGCTTCAATATAGTTGATAAACTATTCTTCTTTTCTCTTGGATGATCTAAATACTGAAATGGGTAAGGTATTGTTGAGGATTTGCAGCCTCTTGTATTGGTAACATCTCAATGCTGGTTATGTTTTTTCAATTCATTCTTTTCATAATGTGTATTCTGCTACTCTATTTGAACATTGGCAGTTAGTTTTCGACTTTTGCAATATTTTACAACTTTTAGGTTTTAAATGATGTGTAGTTTCCCTCTTTCTATGTTATGGTTGTCTGTATGTTGTCATCCTAGATGACAGACACCACCTATAATGATGATTTCAAGTCAAGATCTATTGTCCCATTTTACTATCCATCAAATTAACTCTCAACATGTCATCAATAATTAATATATTATATCAAAATATTTACTCTCATTAATTGCACCACTAACTTACTAATTAATGAGATGTCAAGAATTAATTGGACATACAGCAAAATTGGACCATCTTGACTTGATGATTTCATCTTTTCCTATCTTCCGGATCCATCGATTAGAGCATCTTAAATTGCTTTCATTTTTTTTTATATCCCTAGACAATTACTATATCCTTGCAAACTTTAATGGATTTATTATTTATGAATTAATTGTGACTTGCTTTTTTAGTCTTCTTATTTTTTTTTTTCAAGCTGATTAACCTCTGAACTTCAAAAGTCTGTATTGTGCTTTATCATTAAGAATGCATTTAGCATTTACCAACTTGTGTTTCTTACGAAAGAGTTAGTTTGTTTTATGTTGATGAGAAATGGTCTTTTCTTTATTATAGATATACATTATCTAAAAGTGTTCATATGCTCATATCTTTCATTTGACTATGTTTGGGGTTATCGTAGGGTAATTCATGTTTATTTTAAAAACTTGACCTCGTTTCTTGAATGTCTTCCTTCTTTCATTGTATTTTACTTCATTGTTGTGCAGATTATATAAATATGAATTATTATAATGTTTGTATAATATGGATCTACCTCCTCCATGATTATAATTAACTATCTGTTTATATTCAAAAGTTGTGAATGTTGTAGTGTAATGATAACACTACTACTAGTATTATTGTCCTAATTGATTTTGAGCTTAAAATTTCAACGCAAATTATTGTCTTAACGATGAGCAACACTTATTTGGATCCAATGCCTAGCAGATCCACTTTAGAGCTATGACATGATTAGCCTCAATTAAAGTGTATAAACTTTATCATTTGTTTCAAATTCAAATATAAGGCCATGTTTGATTGGCCATTATTTTTCATGGAAAATGGAATTCAAATTCCAACTGCATTTTTTGGCCGTTTGATAACATATTTTTTCCATGGAATTGCCTTTCTTGAAAAGTAGACATTTTCTGGGTTTTCAACGAAGGTGGGAATTGGTTTTCTAGGCTGATCCGTCGAAGTTTTTTCATTTTTTTGGGCAATGGAAACAAATTCTATTTCTAATTATAAAAAAATATTTTTCTTTAATTGACAATTTTCATGTAAAACAAAGTCAAACGAACACCAAAAGATAGATAATTTTCTTGACTTTTTTTTTCAATGGAAACAAATTCTATCCCAATACCATTAAATTCTATTTCTTTAATTGACAATTTTCATGTAAAACAAAGCCAAACGAATACAAAAAAAAACTTTTATTTCAACATTTTTCACATGAAAATTTATACCAATCAAGCACAATAATCAACAATTCACAGTAAAATAATTTTTAGGCAATCCAATTCCCTGTAATTCATTTTTTTCCACCCAAATTTCATCTTTACAATCAATCGGACCCTAAATTTTATTATATTTCAAAATTATACATAACCTCAAAAGGTTGATTTTTATTGAATACAAAAATGAATATTCGTCAATCAAATATAATGGACTAATTCATGTGGCAACTAACACACCTACAGGATATTTAATTTTATTTTGAATAAAATGTCTTGTTTGTAGAATTAGTTATTGAATCATTAGAAAGTTGATATTATATGTAATGTGGATGAATATAATAATTTTTTAAAAATTTTGAAATGTATTAGGAATATATTTATAGTAGGATGAATATATAAAATTTGGTGGATATATAGTGTTCAAATGAATGAATTTAATATGACATGGATGACAATAGTAATTTTAATAATTTAATAGGGATGAATATAAAATAGGATTAATATATAAAAATTGTGGATGTGAATAGTTGTACCCTAAAAATACGACATATTCATTAAATTTAGTCTTTTCATCACATGTAAATTGGGTTCTTTTTCTTTCATCAAAGTTACAACTAAAACTTGAAGCTCGGCTCTGCCTAATATTATTTAAAACTTTAATTTATTGGATGGAGACGCATTTATTTATTTGAAATTAGTGTTCAACATCCATCTCTTCTCTTCTTGTTAACTAGCAACAAATCTATTGTAACATCGTGTGGAAATTTTTTCAAAGAAATCAAAATACTTTCAATTTGACACAAAAAATTAGTTTCGACGTACAATTTTGAAGAAATTAAATATAATCGTCAAAGCATATGCCACAAATCTTAAATCTTGAATTCGAATTAGTGTTATATAGAAAAAAAGTCAAATATCATGTATAGGAAAAAAGTCAAATATCTTACATAAATGGCATGAAGTCGACATATTTTCCATTTATTGTAAGACATATTACACATAATTAATCAACTTTTGTTTGAATATAAAAGGATCGACACCTCAAAATAGATTCTATGAACATGTTTCAACTTGCAGACAATGGCTATATACTGATTGCATGAGATTTTTGACTTATTTTCACCTGCAAAACAAACTATAGCGCACAAACTGGATTGAGAGAATAAATTCTAATAATTTATGTTACCAATTGCAGATTTTTTTAATAAAAAAATTGCAAATTTCATTAATGTTGAGTAG